TTCTCAGACACGTCTTGCAACTTGCAACTGGCTTCTTGGCTTCTTTCTCTAACCTGTAAAGGACTGTCCCGCCTGCCACCAATGGATTTTGGGCATTAGGCTCGATGGCTCTCAGCTTCCAGAATACTTGAGTAGTTTTGGATGCTTCGCACCTCGGTCATGAAAGAATGTTTGCAGGGGCTATTATAGCTCGCTATCACACTGCTCAGAGTTCCGGATCAGGATTTGTTTCATGCAAAGAACAAAGAAAAAGAATCCAAATGATCCAAAAGGACGTGACCACAGGCAGGCTACCCAAAGAACACCTGTTTTGTTGCCAGCCAGCAGATGCATTCACCCACTCCACGGTGCCTAATAGTTTAGACTACTCCAGAGTATTGGTGCGCTCAGACACTATTACAATGGTAGACTACCGGTACTACTGGTAGCTACTGGTAGCTAGCTGTAGAGCTTGAGACGACGATTCTCATCCTTCGTCGGCTCCAACAGCTCTTCAGCTCTTCATCCTACAACGCCACAAAGCTCGTGGTTTAATTGAAAAATCTTGTGCATCTTTTCAAGGAAGGTTTCGTTGGAGGGGAACTAAGTTCAATGGAACGTTAATTCTTGGTTGCTTTTGCTTTGGTTGAAATCAAGGTTGGTGGTACAGCTGAATCGAAAGCTGTTTCCAACAAATAAATAATAACGATATAAATACGAACAGTACTCGAGTACATGTACTAGCTAGTATCAAGGAGCTTATCATGGCCTTTTGGTCGTACCGGTACATGTAAGTAGATCTACATAGGAAAGTCTTAGGAAGGAAGATGGCAAGCCCAGTTCAGCTTCTTTAGGCCGCCCAACATGAAACCTTTTGCCTTCTGCAAAGCAGTTTCAGCATCCATGTTGCAACGATGGTCTTCTTGCTCTGCATTGTGCATTGCCAGCTCAGAGCTGTTTCTAACCATGCAGTCTTTTACTCCGACAGAGCAAGTGGGTTGGATCTCAACAAGGATCAGCAATGTCCTTTTGCAAGCTGCTTTGGTCTATGGTCTATGATCAGGTATGTCCTGCCTTTTACATTTTACAGTTGTTTACGAGCCTCTGTGGTCTCGTTGTTCTTGCAATTTGCAAGCTAAGAGGTAGGAAGTTTGGAAGTTGGCTCCTTCCTCCGTTTTCGATCGCAGAATGAACCAGTCCAGAGTGAGGCTTTGTCTGGCATGTGCACGAGAGACCTACCGTGTAGAGTACCGTACTGAGTAACCAGCATCTTGTTTCCCAAGCAGGAAAACTAAATCCAAACAAATGATGCTCTGGTACGCACCAGGCGGCAGCACCACGGAGCAACGTTGTGGCGCCATGACATTGTGTGTGTTCGACAGCTGTTCGATCGAGTTCTCCTGTTTCTGTGTCAACGAAAACGAACAGGGAAAAGAATCAGAAAGACTTGCAAAGTGCCAGTATGGACTGAGGTGGCGCATGGTCGGTTTCCTAGTGCTCGTCAAAATCCAGAATCATGCGTGATGTCGCTATGTCGCTTTGATAATAATGTGAAAATTAATGACATCATTGTGAAATGGCCAGTATCGAGGCCTAAGAAATAGTAGTCTTGAATGATTTAAATCCTAATACTCGCTGATACTGCTTCAATTAGATTCCTGCTTCTAGGGACGTCCATTATCAGAAACGAATAATTCTTTGTGGCACCAACATGTGCGGCGAATGGAAACAAGATCTCTCTTGTCTGACGTGGTGGCAAACCTGGCGGAAAGTCAGATCCCAGCCTGATCCTTTAGCTTCCGTGATTTACCGCTTCCCGGTACCAGTATTCCAAGAACAAGCAACAAGTCTTCAGTCCACAGTCCACCAGTACAGCAGGCGTAGGCAAGAGCTACTACTAGCTAGACTAAATTAGCTGTGCGGGGTCGTTCTGTGGTACTGATTTGGCTTGTGCATACAGTACTAGTAGCTAGTGGAGTAGTTGAGAGTCGAGTCACTCAGTCGAGTCACTCAGTCAGCTGCCAAAAAAGAGAATCTCTACTAGCTAGCTAGACCAGCTAGTATTCTCTGATCAATGGCAGAAGGCAGGAGGATTTCTGGCCTGCTGCCTGGCATTGTTGGATGGTACCGGTACTAGCTAGTACTTGGATGGTTCGAATGCCATGCCACCTTTCAGCTGGAGAACGACCAGATGTACTTGTACTAGCGGTATCAACACCAGTGGGCTGTGGGCTGTATCTCTAGCCACTGGCCAGAGCGCCTTGCATTCTCGATTCGATTGATGGTTCCGCACCACTTTTGTTTCTCTCATAAAAACCAATCTAGCAATCATACAAATCCATCAGCAAGCAAGATTCTGCTTTAAGCTAGCTAACCGCCATTAGCTACCTTCTACTAGTACCTGCTTTCAACTATCTTCACCATCCACCATGAGTGTTTCTACTGCTGCTGCTACCTCTACTTCTATGAGTACTACCCCCACCGGTACCGGTACTAGTATGCTTGGTTTTAACAATGGTGCCCTCCAATGCTGGAACACCCGTGCTGTCTCTCGCCTGCAAAGTGGAGACGTGAGAAACTGCATGCTGATCATCAAGAATGAACTTACTTGTGTCCGAGCCAACTTGGTCAAGATTGCTGCTGATGCTACTACTGGTACCAATGGGGATTCTTCTGGTCAAGAGATGATGATGGACCACCAAGAAGACCCACAAGTCGTCACTGCTGGCATCCGCAGTGTTCCTCTACTCCCTCAAGACGAAGAAGGCGAAGAAGACGAAGACGAAGCCACCCAAAAGATTTGGGAGTGCCAGAATAACTTGTTTTCCTTGTATCCTCGTGCCTTTGTCATGGACTGTGATGATACTAACGAGGATAGCAGCAAGGCAGACTCCAGTACTACTTGCTATGTCTACCTGTCCGTGCTCTTGTACAACTTGGCATTGGCGCACCACATGGAGGCAGCTCAGCTCCACAAGAATGGTCGGCCGGAATACCTCAAGTCCCTCCAGAATGCCCGTCATTTGTACAAGTCTGCTCTCGAAGTGGCAGATTCCTCCTGGAGTGCTGCCGATCTAGAAGCACAACGTTCTCTCTTGTTGGCACTCCTCAATAACTTGGGATTCATCAGCTCCCACACACTCGACTTTTTGGAGACGCGTCATTGCATGCAAATGATGTGCGAACTCATGGACATGGAAACCGCCATGCCGTGTGATGCCCACACCAGTGTGTCTGACAAAGACTTTGAACTCTTCTTTACCAGTGTCTTTACGTACATGGATGCTCCGGATCTCAATGCACTGCTTTGCTTGGCACCAGCTGCCTAGAAGCAATACAGCCAATAGGCAGGATCATCATCATCCATCCACGGGGGGGAACCATGCACTCAACCAGAAGCTTACACATAGATTTAACTCAAAATTCTTATAGATTATACCTGCACAAAATTCAATACACCTACTAGCCATGGACTCGCCGCCTATTGTAACGAAGCAACTGGCAAACAAACAGCCAAGCTAACTAGCAGCTGGCTTGTCTGGGACTTCGTGATGATTCGATCTGGGAGGAGTTGAGAAGTCGAGCCGAGTCAAGTCGAGTCGAGTGGAGCTAAATGGCAACGCGTTTCACTAGCCAGCTAGCTAGGACAGCTGCTAGAACTAGGAAGAACGCACAAGCTCATGGATAGAGCTTGGGCTGGTGCAGAGCAATGACATGGCACCACTGTCACTCTGGGTGAAGAATGATCAAGGATGGCTGCATCGATTCCATTCCAGCACATGTATGGTGGTACAATTCACTCATTGTTTGGGCACACCGTCATTTCGAGTGTGCCGTACCTGGTATCCTGCTACGATACCCGAAGAGGACTTGGCTGCTTCGTCATTGATCTGGATGATAAAAGATGGCGAATCTCCTACCTGGATGATGGATCTGGCGCGGACCTTGCTTCCCCTGAACGTAGACCAAAACAACCTGCGCCCGCTTGCACCCACTCCATCCAAAGGCCCGGAGCGAACAGAACAATAGATGAGTCGAGTCGAGATAGAGCACAGCCACAAACCACATTACAACTATTAATCCTGAGCCCGAGTCCGATTCTGAATTTGGACTAGAGGTTGACAATGACCTTTTGGAACCAATCCCTTTGAAAGATGACAAAACAGCATTCTACTACAAACACAACAATGACTCAGAAGACCATGAAGGAGGGCACACCTAGCCCAGCCACGCTTAGCAGAAATAGATGAGACGAGATAGAGCACAGCCACAAACTACATTACAACTATTATTAAACAGAAAGCAACACAACCAAAACGTTCAAGCAGCTACAAGTGTTATGCTAAATAATGTTGTTGTTGCCAATCCCGCCATCATTGTGGTACTGTACCAGGCCATTTATTTGCCATCGCTGGTGACTTCTTGGGGACGATTGGCATCTTGCTGGGCTTTCTTTACTTGTTCATCCAGCCAGCCAAGGAACACTTTGTTTTCTTTTGCTCCTGATTTTTGGTGCTGGGCGCAGAAAGTGTCACTCTTCTCCAAAGACTCTGAGCAGCTGTCACAGCTTGTTAGAGGGACAAGTTTGCCTTTGACAACATCACGTAGCTGGTGTTCGTATGCGACAACACCATTGACGAAGCGAAGCTCTCCACCATTGTCTGCAAAGCCAAAAGTGCAAGGTGCCAAGGTGGAAACAGAAGTTAGTCACAAGTGCCATGTCATCAAATCACAAACACAGAACAGAAGGAAGGACTTACGTTGATAGTCAGCAGACTCCACAGTGGAACGGCTGGAGTCTAGTGCATTGTCATTGTCATTGTCATTGAGGATCTCTGCCATTGGGGGTGTTGAACTTGATACGGATGGGAGGGGACCAGAAGGACAAGAGATTGCTTTATACACAGGGTGATCCTCGAAGCAGATGTAGAAGGTCTGCACATTATCAAAGTGGAACTTCTTGGCAAGGAATTCCAAAGCAGCACCTTCAGAAAGCTTTCCCTTGTTGCTTTGCACATGCGCTGTCAGGGCAGATAACAACTCCAACTGGGTCATAGCTTTGATGCATTCAACAGACAACCCATACCGGTAGCCAACAGTCTTTTCAAGGTAGTCCAAGGCAGCCAAGTACCGACCACTATCAACGATGTCGTCCATTGTCACAAAGACATCATCGTCGGGGTTTTTGCGAGCCAGTAGCGCCAAAGGCAACTCCTTTGAGATATCAAAATGAAGTCGAGCCTTCAGATAATTCTCTAGCTGCTTCTTCTTGAATAGTTTTGGCAAGCTTCCATCAAGGACTCCACGGTGGATGGTTTCGATAATAATCGTTGCAGAGCCCTGTGGGAGGCTTTGTAAGAATGGAGGCTGAGCATCATGAGAGTACTTCACAATGAAACCACCCAGACGGTCAGGATCATCTTCAGCTTGGTACTTGAAGGTGTTAAAATCAATAGAGGGTGTTGACGCCTGGAACAATCGAGTCATGGAAGGAAAACCAAGCTCAGAATCGTTTTGGTAAAAACGGATAGTATGAACAATGTCTTCAGCAGGGAGATTTGCCTTCACCATGCCCGCCACCCGGCCAAGGGCATCAAGGCATTCTTGAGACTTGCGTGGAGGATTGATGACAAGGGTGCTGGACTTGGCACGAAACGATTTGCGACTTCGAACATTCCTGAGAGTCAAGTTGGTCATGGTGATGCTGGTACAGAACGCTTCGAGAACTTGTTGGAGGCAGAACTTGAGACCTTGAGGGCAGGGCAACTGGATGGATCGATCTTGGAGGACTTGACGCACGGACTTGGATGGAAAGGACTTGAAGGGCTTCCAGAAACTCACGCACAATCTCGATCATGAGTTTGAAAGGAAAGCTAGACTAACTTGCTTGATTGCTATTGCAGAGAGAACCAAGAAAAACAATGAAGCTGGGTGCTTGCTGTTTCTCAGGGAGGGGAGATTGTGAGCAAAACCAAAGTGATCCCAACTGGACTGATGAAAGCCAAAATCCAACTCGAGAGGGAGCTTTCCTACCAAATGAACCATGATTTCGTAGATTGGATACCAGAATTGGCATTCTTGGTTGCCAGTTTCCACAAAAGAACCATGTGTGTTCGAGGTTTACCAAGAAAGATGAAAGGACTTAAGGAGGAGCTGGTCGTGGAGGACCCCCGCGGGAATTGATTTCGTAGATTGGATACCAGAATGACCATTCTGTTGCATTCTTGGTTGCCAGTTTCCACAAAAGAACCATGATGTAAGACTTATGTGTGTGTGAGGTTTACCAAGAAAGATGAAAGGACTTAACCTGCAAGGTCCAAAATCCAAAAGTGCTGGTCGTGGACCCCCGCGGGAATTGGCCAAAGAAACGACGAGGCACCCTCTCAAAGCTTGAAGACTGTGCAGCTACACGTTGCCTTGTGTGCTGAGGTCCTCCTGTAGAAAGAATAGTTCGCCCAAAGAGCGTATAAAGTCTTCCTATCAATAATAATATTTTGCTCAGGATGTCCACCTTCTTCCAAAGGGAGGGTTCTCGTGTCTCATGGAGCTCTCTGGCTTCACGTGGGCTCGTGGTTCAAAGGTTGAAGTGTGTCCTACTGACCTGGCAACTTTGTTGGGATGACCCATAATTTAAACCCCATCAATTTTCAAATTTCATGTGCACATATTATTAGAAAATGCCGGTCTTGGTAGAAATCAGCCTTTCAGCATAATTAAACATGACACCAAGATTAAATTTGGGAGAATTCGAATTCAAGCCCTTCAGATCGGAACACTCGCAGTGGCAGCTGCAGCATCACCATGACACATGTATGTGTGTGAGAGGTTTACTCATTTAGATGAAAGGACTTAAAAGGAGAGCTGAAGAAGAGAAAAGAAGCATTGCAACAGTGACCAACACGTGCCACAGAAACCTGAGCATCCGAGCTGCTGAAGAACTCAGGCTAATGAGCCCTTCGCCCTCTCAAAGATGGAAGGCTCCAAAAGGAACAAATAACTGATAATAATGTCAACAGCTGTGGTACATGGTAATGCGAAAATAAATGTCATCAGCCACAGTTGAAGATGCCTAGCTACTCCAAGTATGGTCCCAAGAAGTCTTGGACTGATGACTCTCAATTCAATGGCTGCAGCAGACATCAGGTTGCGCAAGGGCAAAGAACTGTCTTGTGCAGTCATCAATGAACCAGGACTATCAATTCCAGCATGGAACGAAACCATCAGCCACAGTTGCCAGCTTCCCTGCCTGCAAACTTGCGTTCATGGATTCTTTTTGCAAGGAGACCTTCATATGGGCTCGTGGTTCAAAGGTTGAAGTGTGTCCTACTGACCTGGCAAAGACAGCTGCAAAGACTTTGTTTGGATGACCGAATGCAGTGACCCTCTAAGGGATCAAACTAACATATGCCTCCAACAGGCATGATTTATGTATAATTAGAAGCAGTATTTCTTGCTACTGCACCGAAAATTAAAATACCATCAATTCAGGTGTACTCGACTCGACTCGACTGAGTCGAGTCGAGTCGAGTCCTCATGATCAGGACGATAAAAGATGCCGAATGCTACTGTAGTACTAGCTAGTACCTGGCTGCCTGACAGATCCGGCGCGTACATTTCCTGACGTACCGTAGACCAAAACGAAAGGAGCGAGCAGAAACAATGTAGAGGTCCTTGATTGGGTTCACAGTAGTGACTCGGAGCTGGGGCTCCCTCTTTGGCAGTTTGCTTGCTTCAATTAATTAACTCATCTTTATAGAGTAACGATACAACGATACAGTACTATTAATAGTAGAGCTATCGAAATAATGAACCGGAAAGAGGAGGAGTGGCTCGGATACATGTTTATCAGTCGCGATCCCTCGTTTGGTCCTCTCTTAACAATGGTTCGTGGGATTGAATCGACAAAGGCCACACCCACAATTTTCCACATTCTGAGACAATTCCTATGTCTATTCGTTGCACCAGAAGATGGAAAACTGAACTTGTTGCTAGTCTACTGGCTGTTGGCTCACAGGGGTATGGGGCAACTTCTGGATTTCGAGATAATGTGTTTCGAAATACGTATTTATGCGTAACTACACGTAACTGCACGTAACGGATCGTAATGGCACGTAACGGCACGTAACTAGAGTACATAAAATACCATAGTAAAACGTAACTGCAGGTAACGTAACTGCACATAACGTAACTGCACGTAACTGCTGTGTTATGAGACTGTTACCGTGCCGTGTTAAGTTGGTAAATCCTATAGTTGCCCCATACCCCGGAAGGTTAACACGGGATTCGTGGGTGCACCCGACTCAAAATTCGCTTTCGTGACACAAAAGTCATTATCCAGCCCCATCAAGCAAGATGGGGACAACCATGCGGCCTCTTCCACTCTCTTCTACTACTATTGAAACCACTATTCCAACTCTAGAACGGTCTCCAAAGCTTATCTGATGGCCTCAAAGCAAGGGAAGAAGTTGAGAGCTCTGAAGGTCTGAAAGGAGCTTTTTGGCTGCTGTTTCCGCTGTTATCTCGCCGCTCCACGCCGCCTCCATCATGGAAAAGTCTCTATTCGTGGTTCTTTGAGACAATGGAACGGCATGGCGGCGACGATTGCTGCTCTGGAGTCTACTGTCGACCCTGATGAGGTTGCGGCTGGAGGCAAGGAAAAAACAACGGCGGAGTCGTCGTCGAAGAGCGGTGGAATTTCTGGATTTTTCTGTGAACTCGGAACTCGGTGGTTGCTATCTTTGTCGCTCTGTTATCTCTACAGCACGACGATGGCGACACGATGTCGTCTTCGAGCGACGATGCTCCACTTAGCGGCAGCGGCGATGCTACCGTAGCTACCGTACCGTAGCACGACGATGATGGTTGTAGCCTGGAGTCCTGCGGCTGGACGGAGATACGAATACCAACAAAACAACGGCGGGGAATCAAGCCGAGCCGATACTCACTCGTCACCAACACGACGAGTTGAAGGATGACCACGGAGCTATGCTATACGGTTGCTACATGTTGCAGTGTTGGCTGCTCTTGGTATTGACTGAAGGATATTGCGGCAGGAGGATATTGCGGCAGGAGGGAATTGCGGCGAGGGAATGGTACAACCAACAACGGCGGCAAAGATGCTGTCAATCGCTCCACGACGACACGGCAACATCAACAATCCGCAATTTTCCCACTCAACGGAGGAGTTAGGTGCTGCGGAGGAGCTACTAAAAGGTGCTGTGGCAGTCGGATCGACCGCAGGAGACTGAGAGAGCCATTGAGACCATAGACGACTACGGACGACGACATGCTGCGCCCACCGGTTCAGACAACAATCCGGAGCCACGAAGCTACTGGTTGTTGGCATCACTGGCAACAGTTCTTGAGGCTTGTTCCTTGCTCTTCATTCCTCTTAGAAGACAATCCATAGTGGCATGGAAGCCATGAAGCACGGGTAAATGCATGCAAAAACTTGCTATCTAGATGGGCTCCCACACACCACAACTCAGATTTTCAGGTGAACCCATGATGCAGATCCTAATTCTAATATAGTTACTAAAGGATAGTGCAGATCATACTGTTGTCCCCATTGTTGTTGATGGTGCTGAGGATGTGCTTTTGTGCCGATTGGTGGCAATTTGGTGGGGGTAGAGCCACGGAGGTCGTGTTAAGAGAGGGTAAACAGCCACGAATCCTCTCCGACGCACGAAACAAAGCATCCATCATCCTCTTCGCTCCGGTCAGTTTCCATGAATTCAAGACGACCATCGAAACGCGAAAGCTATGCCCTTTTCTTTCCTCTCGACAATGGTCGAAACACTCCACAATGACGGCTCTCTCCATTGACAGCGTAGCGTTGGTCTCGGCTTCGATCTCGTCTGTGGCCTGTCCGCTGTTGTTGTTCTTGCATGGTCCATAGTTAATCGATCGAAATGAAAGTGTTTCTTCTTTTGGCCTGGAAATTCAGCGTACTGGACTTAAGGAACCGGTAAAAGACTTAGAGGCCTCAGTGATGTATACTTCATAAAATGGAGCAAACCCATCTTTTCGGCCATGCTCTTGCTAAAGAGAGGTAACACATGAGACGACACGCCGGATATGGACTATCTACAGATTTTGCAGCAGTTTTTTCCACCATTTCTGACACTCAGATTTTACTTGGTGAAATGGCGGCAGCGCGATCAGAAATTGAATTAGACACAGCTGCAACATCAACGACTACTATGACACGACATAGCCGCCCCTTACAAGCTACCTGCTACCCTCCTCTTGTCAACCAAGATAATAGCACTGATAGTGAGGCAGTGCAATGGTGCTCTGTCCATACCTTGACAGCTACAAGTGTTGAAATAGCAACTGTCAGTGGGTGTCACAGCGTCACACCAGAGGCTCCCCAGCCACGTTGGCATCAGTGTCATCATTGTCATCATCAATCTCCTTCAGAAGTGCGTCCTTTTCTTCCTTGGAGAGGCCACGAAGAAGACTCTTGGCTTTGTTGACCTCAACTGCCTTTTTACGGGCATAAACAGTGTCTCCTAGTGCAATATCACCTTCGATGCTCTGTTGCAACTGAGCCAGCTTTTCCTCGTCGGCATCAGTCCATGGCTCAAATGATGGAGGCTCCTTATTCTTGAGTTCCTTCCACTTTGTTACCTTGGGGCCTTTGTTCTTCAAAGCACCAGGGAGTGTCTTTGAGTCAAGCTTCCAACAGATCAGATGCCTCAGTTGTGGATTTGTATACTCTTCCACACCAGCCACCTCTTGTTGAAGGATCTGAAGAGCAATCTCTTGACGTTGAGCTGCTTCCTGGCTCTCCAGCTTTGAGTCTTCCATCTCTTTGAGTCTTCCTTTCAGCTCCTTCCGTTCAAGAGATATAAACATGTCATCATCATTCAGTGCTGCACCACCAGTTCGGAGGAAGTGTTTGCCACCACCAATCTTCACCTGTTCAAGAGCATCTTGTCGGGCTCTAGAGCGAGGTTGTGTAATGGCTTTGCGGCGCTCTTCAGTGCTGAATTGGCTCAACTGGAACCGGAAGATGCTGCCATTGTATCCACCACCATCAAGAATATCACAAGACTTCCTGTTGAGTGAGTTCAAGGCTCGAAGATGTTGAGCGTTTGGATCTGCTTCAGCATCAACCAATCCGTCATCATGCGACTGAACCACAATCTCATGCCGAACGTGTTTACTCTTCAGTGCTAGCCGTGTAAAATATGAATAGACTCCAAGCTTTTGACTCCAACACTTGCGAACTCTATCCATAGCAAATGCATCTTCAAAGGCATTCTCCAACAGAGGAAATCGTGGATCCTCCTCTCTCCGCCGGCTGTGTTCACTCCCAAAGAAGAGCAATCCAATATCATTGCGAGTGATGGTAGCACGGATATCAATGTTGTTCTGTCGATATTCCCAAAGCCTTTCGAGGTTGGTGAAATATCTCGTCTTGAACAAACCGAAGAGCATGTCACAAATCTGTGGAAGGAACACAATAGCAGAGTCCGAGAAAGTGTTAGCTAGCCAAAAAATAATGATAGACAATGGCAATGGCTGACAATATTCACACAAACACCAATACGTACCTGTAAGATGTGAGTAGTGTTGGGTGGACCGGAAGGGAAAAGATAGATCCCTCTCATCCTCATTTGAGCCAACATGTCAACGTTTGTTCCACCAGGTCCTCCGTCTACCAACAGACAAACTCTTTTGCCAGGAATATCAGCCGTATCCTCAGCAACTAGCTCAAGAAATTTTTTGAGAATATAGGAACCAAACTCTTCTTTAGTCATGCCTCCTTTCTCATTGACATTGTAGGTAGCTGAATGGCCAGACAGTTCAGCCGACAAGTACTTGGCAGACGTTTCCAACATGTCAAGAATAAACTCAGCATAGATTCCTTCATTGTTTGATTCTTTGGCATCAGTTGGCAGCTGGAAATGTGGAGGAAATGGCTCTCCAGATGCAAAGCAGCCAGCAACAAGAGTGCATCTCCATGAACTCTTGTGACAACCATGACTTGGTGCAGCAGAAGTCCGGCGGTCATAGAATCCCATGGCTGGTCTTCCGCCTTTCCCATTCTCCGTGTCATCGAGTGTGAGGCAAGATTCATCTAGATTAGCAATCCGAGATCCTTGGTCGCTGCTAATAAAGACAAGTTCACCTTCGTCTCCGTTCTCAGCTGCCGTGGCAAATCCCTTCTCAATGAGGAAGTCTTTCAATCCAGTATACCATTGGTTGATATTTCCGTAGGTAGCATACTGTTGCCCACGCTGCTCAATTCGGTTTGGTTTGCCCAAATCCATTTCTCCAGCTAAGGTGGACTGTACTCGATCAAACAAAGGCCTTCCACGACGGCTGCCCTCTCCCTCAAGCTTGTTGACACAAGTATTCACCATCTTTGTAAGATGTGGCCGGAGATTCTTCATCTGCTTCCCATCTTAAACTGAAAGAAGAGCATAGGACTTGACAGCACCACAGAGAGCATCAAAATATTCTTGTGGTATCTTGTCACCACCACCTTTCCTTTGCATTTGAACTCGCTGCTCTTGAAAAGCATTTCGAACTGTACGTGCAACGATCTTGATGTCGTGGGCTTGAGCTAATGCTGAAGCATTGATTTCATCACAAATCGTCTCAGCAGACTTCTTTCTGTAGGCTTTCCCCTCCTCCAAAGCTTGCTGGTCTCTTGCCGACTCCCTTTGAAGAGCTTCCACAGCCTCCTGGAAGAGCTTTGCCCTCAAGTCTTTCACTTGCACATTGGCTTCTCGTTGTTTTGCAGCTTGTTTGGAAGTTCTTCTCATGTTCAGCGTTTTCGGAAGTTTTGGCACGATGGGAATGACTGACTCTTGAGAGTCCGGAAAGGGATGATCCAAGTTTTCAGCTTCTTGTAATCCAACTCGTTCGAAATCAGCTGCCAGTTGCTTTCGCTGATTGCCAAGCTTGTCTCTTGCCCAAAGAACTCTTCTTTGAATGTTTCTGTTGCCTCTATCTTCTGTTGATACCCCTGCTAATCAAAGTGCCGAGTGCGCAGTCAAAGCACCAGATTTCTTAGAGAGTTTCAGCAGCATTCCTGCATCGTTCACTGCTTCATCGAGATCGGCTCTCTTCTTTCCAGCTCTGTCTGTCATGGTGGCCAAAAACAAGAGGAGAGAGTCAAAAGCGACGGCCAAAATTCATTGTCAGCCTCCGCAGAAGAGGAATGAGACCACTTTCGCTGGTAGAGGCCAGTAATGTTCATTATCTATACATTAAAATAATCTAATGATGTGTGTGTTGCTCATGTCTTAGTACTCTAGTGCTGGCTCATCGTTGATTGTGTCATCAGAAGACAATGATGGATGCAAAAATGTGAGGCGAAAAGCTGTAGCCTGCATCCATGTTTGCCTTCTTGGGAAAAAATCGCAAAGTCGCCATCGGTGCCACACACGATTGAAAATACAGGTGCAAAACTCGTACCACTTGGAGGTGTCCCCTATGACAAACTATGACAAAGCTGAGTCCCCTATGACAAAGCTGAGTCCCCTATGTCCCGTCTCGTTTTAGAGTTAGTGTTGAATGTGAAGAGAATCTTTTACAGCACCATCCCACCGTTTTCACTCAGGCTTTAAAAACGGGCACAACTGACTCAAATCCTGGTTCATGTTTTAAAAGGGGTTGTTTTAAGGGGTTGTTTATTTAAGGGGTTGTTTAAGGGTATGTTGAATATTTAAGGGGTTGTTGTTAGGAGGATGTTTATTTAAGGGGATGTTCATTCGTGATAAGGGGTTGTCAAATGGCGTTTCAATGAAGGCTTAAAGGGTTGTTTCAAGGACTTATGGGGATTTTTTAAGGGGTTGTTTATTTAATGGGTTGTTTAAGGGGATGTTGAAGCTTTAAGGGGTTGTTTAAGGGGTTGTTTCGAGGATGTTGTCAGTGGTGGCATTTTGAAGCTTTTTAAATCCTGAGTGACAAGGGTAGGACGGTCCTGCAATTGCCACAAGCAAGAACTCCCGCAAATGTACAGCTGGTATGGTACTACCGTAATATCTGGTTCCAGTAGTAATCCTCTTTGAGAAAATGGACCCTCATTGAACAGTTGAATTTAGTAGCTGTAATATCCCCACTTTATCCAAGCCATTGTCCCATTGTCCCTTCTAACGTCTTCAACACATACATGGTCCCACCATACTTCCAAATGTGGCATAGTTGCGTGGATATCCAGGAAAGTCCCACAAAAGCTGGAATCCCTGAAAGGATCTGTAAAAGTGTTGAATTTGAGTTGTACAGTGTTGACTTTTGTTAAACAGTTGTTCAACACTTATTTAAACACTTTTTCAACAGTGTTGAATACTGTTTAACACTGAATTCAACAGATGTTGAATCCATTAGTAGATAGTTACAGTAAAAGTGTTGAAAATAATGTACAAAAATGCATCAGTAAATCCAACAGTTGTTGAAATGCCCACCTTCCCAGAACCAGAGTTGCAGCTGCCCAACACCAATTTTCCTTTTTGACTGGGGGTAATTAGTGTGAGAGTCCACAACCTGAAAAAGTATGTGTTGCCCAACAGAGACCACCTCCCTCTCCAAGTCTTACTCTGAAGAAAAGTAAGCATGGACTTAGAGTTTGATGACACCATCGACAGGTCACGCAAAGTGACTTCCTTAGGGTCCGGTGCCAGAGATGGGGAAGTTTTGCACACCGGCCAAGTGGTGTGTGAGGAAGCGTCATGAAGGGTACTGTCTATGTCTGTTTCAGTGAACGTGGGGTCAACTGTAACCGAGGCGGCCACCGAAGGGTCACCCGTTCCAACCAGGTAGGATACTCCTTTGAAGGGGTGCTTAGACGCAATGGCAAGTACTTTGAGTGAATCGCAAGCACCGCCCTTGCCCCTAACGAGATGGCCGCCCTTCAAGCCAAAGAGCGATCGGAGGACAACGCTGCACTTCAGGAAGGACCAACTGAACGGTCTCCCAGGCTCAAGGTGGAAACTGTAAACATGGGATCACCCGACGCAAAACGAGCCTGCCCAAGAAGAGAAACGGCATCGTGGCAGCAAACTACGAGCACGAACAGGCCACCGAGATGGCCATTCAGAAACTCCTATGTGAACATGAGGCAGCCGGAGCCCATCGAGCAAAAGCCGCTGAAGCCGCCAAGTACAAGCAGGAGGCAGAAGTCCAGGGACGCGTTGAACAAGCACTTGCTGCCAAGGCTCGCCAGGAAGGACTTCGAGATAGTCACCTGGGGACAACCGACGGTATGGCTCCGCCGACACCCAGCTTTTCCCCTAGAGTACCATCCAGTCCACCCAGCTGCTTTGGTACGGGTATGTGAACGGGATCAACGGAGCATATGGAGTGGTCAACGAACAGCGCGAGACGCAGCTGTTCGACAGTGATAGGATTCTTTGCCTGTGCCCGCAACCCGGCTACCTAAGCATGGGAGTGAGTGAGTGCCGAACTCGCCCATAAAGCTGACAAGGCCCCTGCCCCCGACGAGATCCGAGCGGGATGTGGAAGAAGTGGAGGAACAACACCTGCGCCGGGCCATCGAGCAACAGCCCACCATCCTCGTCAGGAACGATTACCTGCTGAGCCTTGCCCACACATGGAGCAGCGAGGGATACATGGCCACACTCAACCGCAAGGGGATCAAGTATTACAAGGTGTTCCTGGATCATCTCATCCAGCTGTCGTCCAGCCAAGGAAGGAATGCCACCAACACGGTCATCCAATACTATGTAAAGAAGTGGTGCATCATTCGGGCCAACTGCCACTCCCGGCTCCTAGCCCTATGCCAGCTTTATGTCACTCTCCGAGACGGATATGAAAGCAACTGGCTACATCTCAAGCTCACGGACAAGAAAGCGAACTCCTTGCTCACGCAGGTTGGAGGAGCAGAAGGAGCCCGGAACGGAGGAGCTGTCCCCCGCGGAATCGCCCTCTGCCAGAAATGCGAGACCATCCTCCACGGCGGGACCGGCTGTCCCTGGACTGCCCTATGTGGAAACGTGGCAAAGCAGTTGGGCAAGGAGGCCCTACGTCGTTTGGCAGCTGGAGAAGGAGCACCTCCACCCGAATAAGGAGGACGGCGCCACACTACCACTGAGCCCTCAAGGGTCCAAAATACTATATACGTTCAGAAAGAAGTCTTCAAGTGTACGAACTGCCACGCGACGGTCCACAAGCACTTGAGCTGACTACAACACGTGACGACCGAAGATCCACAACTTCACGTGAGCACCGAGCTCTTGGTTCCAGCAAAGAGACAATTTGGAAGGGGGACATAAGGCAATCTGACAAGTTTGCTAACAATTACCACCCGTTATGTTACTTAATGCCTTTCTCGTTGTGGTTCTACACCACACGTAGGTGAGTTAGAATGATTTGTACGAGCAGAGGATATCCTCTGTGCATCCCCTTGCATCCTTCCACCCCTCCTCAAGAGGAACAAGATTCGATATGGAACCATCGGGCACGGCCTGGATTTGGCCTGTTTGGTATGGGCAGGAGAGAACCATGTTTTCTCATGCCAAGACATCGATGTACAGTCACAGATTTCTAAATGGCCCAAGACCAAGGAAATCAAACACCTCCAACCTCAGAAGAAGACCTTCCTCAGCTCCCAAAGACTAGATGCACTACTAGTAGACGAAGGCTGTGGCAAACAACGCAAGGAGGTTTTAACGCAGCTCAAACACTGCCAGGAAACCGGAAAACCCAAGTCGGTCATCTTCGCTGGCCCGGTGAGCAGGGGATACGACACCCAAGACGCCCTATGGCGGAAGGGGCGCCATAAAGAC